CCGGAACTATAAGCAAATATTTTGCTTAATAATATCCCTTCACACCCTGGCATATCTTTTGTTGCCTAGTAACACGATTTTATTGCTCTGTATCGTGTATGTTGCTTAGTAACCTCTCTAGAGATCCTTGTCTCGCCTGTTGCTTATTTACATCCCTTGAAATCCTGCTATACATCTTGCATAGTAACACGTCTTCATTGCTCTGTTTCTTGTACACTGCATAGTAGGTTCACTCAGGATCCTTGTATCATCTGTTGCTTAGAAACATTCCTTGAGATCGTGGCATATCTCATGTTGCCTAGTAACACGTCTTTACTGTGTATGTTGCTTTGTGATCTAATTTGGGATCCTTGTCTCGCCTATTGTTCAGTAACATCCCTTGAAATCCTGGCATATCTTCTGTCGTCTTGTAACACATATTAACTGCTCTCTTGTATGTTACTAAGTAATCTTACTAGGGATCCTTGTGTCGCATGTTGCTTATTTACATCCCTTGAAATCCTGCTCTTTATTTTGTTGCCTAGTAATGTGTTATAACTGCACTGTATTACATGTTACTTAGTAACCTCTCTTGTAATCTATGTGCTGTGCGTGTTTCCTAGTATTGTGTCATCAAAACCTTAAAATATGTTTCATAATAGCGTCTGTTTAGTCATTCAGGCTCAGCTGCTGACAAGTAACGTCGTTCTGAGTTAATAAGTTAGTTGTTGACATAGTATATACACCACGCCTGTTAAACACTATAATTGATTTATACCCAGTCAACATCATATATGCAACCACGAATACTAAGAATGTCCTATGCATTAAATCGTTATTGATATAGGGTACACGTAACAATGGTTCAAACCCTCCAACGTCGTCGGCCCGGTAGCTGTTGATCTATGTACGGAGACAAGATATTCCTTCGCCGGTTTACGAGTTCCACGGTTTCTCACTCAAGGATGCCTTCAAGCGTTCCGCTGCAATGTACACATCAAGACGCGCATTCTGCTTTTACTTTTAACTTCGTGCTCTCACTGCACGGCAGTTTCGCCAGCGATAATTATTATACAATACTCCACGATTTTAATGCTTTCTAATCTTTGATCAATGGATAATGTTTAGATTTCCGATTTCTCTCCACTGTTACTCCTGTTACCCCTCAGCCTGACCCGGAGTGAATATGCTTTCCACGTTCATCCAGCTAGGAAAGCTACCAGTGTTGTCGATCTACAACATCGTCCAACGACCGCATAAGCGAAACGGCGTTTTCGGCATTTAACTAAAACATGGGTATTCGAATTTTTGGAAAATGTTTTGCAGAATACATATAATCATGTTTCGTTTCTACAATCGCTTCGCGCCCCGGTGGCTCAGCGGAAAGTCTGAAGGCTTGTAACGCTAAAATCGGGATTCGATACCCAAGGTATCACCAATTTGGATCAGGTTTACAAAATACTTTGGGACGAAAATTTTCTCCTAAACCAACCCAAAACTCAAAATAAAGAGATTGTTTAGAAACAATAGAAATCATCAAAGCAGACGATTTTTCAATAACAGTGATAATGGTCCTAGCACCATCAGACGAATTTTGCAGTTTTTCCACCTAGCTCTTCTCTCACACACACTTGACCAGCCTTGACCTTGTCTTCAGCCATAATCCTGTCGCTAAGTGACAACATTCCTTAGCATTAAACCCTGGAGCCTTAGCTGTAAATCATACCTGAAGAAGATAGACCAATATATATGTTGAAACAAATAAAACCACTTCATTATGATTAATAATAGTTATTTACCAGTTTAATGTTAATTATATCAGCACAGTTGGCTTCCAATCACAAGTAAGAAACAAAACAAAAGGCAATGGCTTAATGTTAAGAAATCCCAGCCAGTGTGGTTGGGGAAAATCCTCGTTGGTACATTAGATGACAGATACAGTGGTTGACATATTATTACATATTCTTCTTTGTTCTCACTCATAAGTTCTTAGAATTGCCCCCCCCCCCCCAGTGGTACATCGGTATGTCTGCGGATTTATAACGTAGAGCACAGATAGCCCATTGTATAGCTTTGTGCTTAACCTTAAACATTCTTAAAATTAGCCGCAATTTACTCACGCCATCTTGTGAGGTTTTTCCAAACTAAATAATATGGAAACAGAAAAACTAGGCCAACAGTTGATGAGACTACCATTTCAACCGTTAGTTTAAAAAAGATACTTTAGCGAACTCGAGATATCCCTTAGTTCTACATAAGGGATCGTGAAGATATATTAAAGTTGTTTTGTGGCCCGTAACAAGGTATATGTGAGAGAAGACGCTACAAACATGTACGAGTCTTTCTTCAGAAATTCCTATCGCGTTTTGTACATTGCACAAACAAATCAAACGTCAGATATATGAGGCGAAGGAAAAAGGTGTAAAATAAAAACTTTTAACTTGCAAATATCAGACAGATAAAAACAAGTATTTCATTGCAGAAAACGAAAATTTTTCTCGAAGTATAAATAAACACATTTCTGATTGTTAAAACTTTTATTGTATTAAACCATGTCTTACAACACCTGTACTCAAAAGTAAGCTTGAGGGCCTATAGGTAAAGAAATCTGGGTTCAGTCTTTACGGTGGAAAAAGCCCAAATATTCCATTGTGCAGCTTTGTGCTTATAAGAAAACATATACAACAGTATTTTTTTTTAACTAATAGAATTCCACAAGCCATTCAAAGAAATTGATCCAGCTTCATTACGGAATTTGATTTTACTTATAAATGGACAGATTTTATATATGCCTTAATTCATTAATTTTCAAAATCATTTTTGTTTCTCATGAAGTAATATCTCAGTTAAAACTCGATACATTTAAGTATTGTTAAAGTCATAAATATTTGTACAGGTTTACACCTTTCTTTTTTCCCTCTAGATCTATATATTTAAAATACTTTTGGCAAATGTAATACCCATTCCAAACCAATAGTAGTAAGGTGTTATCGACTATCACAACTATAATAACTTGTTTAACCCTATAAAGCATTTTTCTGCAATGTTTAGGAACCAACTTGCTTGTGGTTCCACACCTTTGTTCGTTACAGGTTCCCTAATAACATACAAAAATTTGGACAAGAAAAGATAATTCCATTAAATACTGCCAGTGTTTTTTATGTATTCATAGACAATGAAAGATTTTGCCTGGTCTCTTGTCATTTGTTTATATTTTTTTTACAGTGAATGTTGTGACAGAGAAAAACAGAATTACTCAATGTGATGTAATATTTGGACCCCACCGGTAGTGAGAGGTATAAACTATAAATGCACGAACCGAGAAATCGGAGGAGTGGCTGCTGTGTCGAAAGTGCACAGCAGTATCATAGTACCTCTAGTGGACATTAGTTTCGTACAACACCTTATTATAGTGCCTCTAGTGGACATTAGTTTCGTACAACACCTTATTATAGTGCCTCTAGTTGACATTAGTGTCGCACAACACCTTATTATAGTGCCTCTAGTTGACATTAGTTTCGCACAACACCTTATTATAGTGCCTCTAGTTGACATTAGTTTCGCACAACACCTTATCATAGTACTTCT